TTGTACAATGCATTTGCACAATGTTATTTTAATTTTTTTAAGGGCGTCAAAAATTGATTAAATTTTAGTATTTTTTTACTTAAACTTTTTTTTATTCATTCATATTATATAACAATCAGAGTTATTTACATAATAATAATAATCACAGGAAGAAATAATAATAATAATAAGAAATAAATAAATAAAAATAGATTAAAAATAAAGAAATTAATAAAGAAAAAATAAAAAGAAAAAGTAAAAGAACTTAAACTTAATTGCAATAACATCACATAAACTAAAATTGTTTTTTTTTATATATAAAATAATTATATAAATGGAGCGTTTAATATTTTTTAATAGTTTTTTTACTCCGCTTTATGGTTTTTCTAGTATTATTTTTATTATTCAAAAATTTTATTTATTTTAGTTATTAATTTTTATTATTATTATTATTTGCTTTATTTTTATATTAAATCATCATACTACGGATATTATTTTTAATGAAAATACTATCCTTATTTTGTACTCTTTTTTATTTAAATTTATGTTATTGTTTATTATTGTTACTAGATGTTAAAATAATCATTTAAATAATATTAAAAAATATTTTATTATTGTGTTAAAGCAAAAGGAGGCTTTCTTGATAATATTTCAGTACTACTATATTGCATATATATTAAATATATATTTACACTAATACAAATTATTTAATATAATTTGGACAAAAATAAATATCGTTCCCAATAATATTCGTTCTACTTTCAATACAAAACTTGACTTACAATTTCTGTTCGAATTAATGTATATATTCCGAATATTTCTACATCTAATGAGTCCTTTGATACTTTGTAGCCGTCGGCTTATTAAATGCGATATTTAGACCTTTTCCATTTTGCGAAATCGAATTCCATGGAAATTATTATCTATTTATCTGTCGGATATAATGTAAGATAATAATACGACAGCTGCCTACTATGTATGTAATTTCAACGAGTATTTGCTCAATCGGAATTAGGAGGAAAAATTAAATGTTTTAGGAAAAATTGTGGTATCCATTCCAGTTTTCTTTTCTTTTTTACCTTATACAAAGTATTTGTAAAATAGTTTGTAGTTATATTAGTATTTCCGTGTGTAGAAGTGAATGACTTCTAATAATACATTGCACGTGTGTATTCATTAGCATTTACGTTTCATTCAAGGTGTGGGTGTGAATTTGAATAAAATTTATATATATATTTGTGTATATACATATATATGTATATTTGTATATATATATGTATATTTGTATATCTACAAACAAATAAGTGAGTTTAAGAATTTATTCCAAGAGTCATTGAAACGGGTTTTGAATCACTAACTACTAACTAGTTAATACTAGAAATATATATATATATATATATATATATATATATATATATATTTGTATGTATATTTGTATGTATATTTGTATGTATATTTGTATAAAAAATTTAAATATCTTGAGTATTTTTTAAGTATTTAATTTATTTTCAGAATCGTATGACATCAAAATACGTTGACATGTCGATTTAACATATTTTATATACAAATGAAATTGTATATATATATATATATATATATATATATATATATATGTATGTATGTGTATGTGTATATATTATAGGTAAATAATTTTGTGTGTATCGATTTTCAAGTTTTTTAAAAACATTTGGTATTTCTTTAAGTTTTTAAACTTTGTTTTAAACATTAATTTCACAGAATAAAGCTTGATGATGGCACGTATCGAGTTCCGAAACGTTAAGATTAAACATTACAAACAACTGTTTTATATTCTTTATTTTTGGGGATTTATTGTTGGGAAAAGAATAATAATTTAATAATAGTATTAAAATAATGTTTGCATCCAGTTTTTTCATTTTTGTCTAATAATTTTTACAGACGTTTCGAACCCCTTTTTAGTCCTTCTCCAATGCATAAACGAACCATTTTTATTTTTTCTCAGATTTTTGTATAAAAAATGTTATTATTTAAGTATCCATCTGGTTATTAGAAGAAAAAATTATACTAGGTTTCAAATTTTGTTTAAAAACAATTATACTGGGTTTCAAAATTTGTTTAATGAATTTTGCACACGTTTTGACACCTTATTTTAGTCATCATCAGTGCATAAGTAATAAACAAAAGTCGTTAAATAAAATCATTATTTAAAAAAAAAAAACAAACAACAACATTGAGTTATGAATGCAACAATGCAATGTGATTGTGTTTTTTTTATAAATTGTTATTTTTTTTTTTATATTTTTATTTTTTTATTTTTTCTCAGATTTTTGTATAAAAAATGTTATTATTCAAGTATCCATCTAATTATTAAAAGAAAAAAATTATACTAGGGGGCGTCCATTAATCACGTGAGGTTTTTAGGGGGAGGGGGGTTTGACAAAAATCACGAAATATACATGGGGCAGGGAGGGGTATAGTAAAATATCACGTGTATTTATTTTTTAACTGTTTTTTTTTAAAGTCAAACATTTTCAAAAAAATAAAAATTTTACAATTTTATCAGGTAACTAAAACTACACGTGATGTTTGGTGGGGGGGGGGGGGTAAATTTGAATATCACCATGTATCACCAAGGGAGAGGAGGGGGTCCAAAAATGCTTAAAAACTCGCTCACGTGATTAATGGATGCCCCCTAGGTTTTAAATTTTGTTTAATGAATTTTGCAGACCTTATTTTAGCCATCATTAGTACACATGTAATTAAAAAAAATCGTTAAAGATGTTGAGACATCTAAAACAAACAACAATATTTAGTTATATGATATGATTGTTTTTTTTTTATTAATTTGTACTGATGATGGGACAAATGGGGAGTCGAAACGTCTACAAGATTTTATAAAAGACGTTTAAATCTAGATTTTTGTGTTTTTTTTAAAATAATTGATTGGATTTCTTATAAAATGATTAAAATTTATAAAATAATCAACAAAAACATAAGATACAAAATTAATAATAAAAATTTACAAATTCACTAAAAAGACACATTAGGTGGATAATATTTTGTTTATACAATTATCTAAACAAAATTTTAAATTTTAAAACAAAAATCTGAATATAATTGCTTTATTTTATTTTTAACACTAAAACTTGAATTTATTATTTAAAATACATTGTTTTATTAATTTATTAATTTATTATTAAACTATTAAATAGTTGCTTGTAGATATTTTTAAAAGAACTCTGTTTCTACGATTTTATAAAAGTTTCTAAATCTAAATTCTTTTTCTATAAAAGTTTTATATCGATTTAAAGAAAAGTTGGAAAATTGCATTATTTGCTTTTGGCACCGAGCCAAGTTTTGTATCTTTGCGGAAGAGTAGTTTTGTGTTTTCTAATGCGATTTTAAAGTATACCGAGTTGATGTAGGGTGTTATGATGTTAGAAAATATTTTAGATAATTTAATTTTGCACAAATTTGCCAAATATTTTATTTAAATTAGACAAATAGTTTGAAAGTTGTAATAGATAGATAGAACAATAAATGCACCTTCAAATTCAGTAGTACGACGTTTCATGTAAGACATCAAAATTGATTTTAAAGTACACCTAGTTGTTGTAGGGTTTTATAATATTTGACAACTTTATGGATTATTTAATTTTGAACAAATTTGTCAAACATTCTATAAATATCAGATGAACCGACTAAAAGATATAAATGGTGGAATAAAAAGTATCCGAAACGATAAGTCTTCGGTTGCGGGCCTTAGAAAATCACTTTTTAACTCCCGTAGGGCAAGTTATAGTAATCGCAAAAAAATCGAAAATGAAAATATTTATATATCTTTACGTTTCAGAGGTTTCTGAACATTTTGGCATACCTTAGAAAAAATGGATGTATGTGTGTGTGTGTGTGTGTGTGTGTGTGTGTATGTATGTATGTATGTATGTATGTATGTATGTATGTGTGTGTATGTATGTGCGGATACAAATTTTCGTCGACGATTTCGGGAACACGGATTAACCGATTTGAATAATTCAAAAAACATTCGATTCGTATTGATAAGGAGACGTGCTGATTAGTTTTTGGCAAAGGCAGGTCCAGCCGTTCCAAAGATACGGGGCAAAAAGTGCCAAAAACGGTACCTCCATTTTTAAGAGAACGGAGCGTCCGATTTGAATAATTCAAAAAACATTTTACTTGTATTGACAAGATGTAGAATTGATCAAATTTTCATGAAGGCAGGTCTAGCGGTTTCGGAGATCTAATGAAAAAAGTAAAAAAAAATGCCATTCGGCGGTTAAAAATGATCATTAGACATATGCACATCAAATTGTCAGATATTTTATAGAGATTTCAACAATAAGTATATTTTTTTTTTACATTTCTGTGGGTTCCGTACCAATGTTTACGCGTTAGACGGCGGCGCGGCACTAGCGAGCTTTGACATTTCGTCTCTATGCAGTTCAAGCAGTGCAGTGCAAGTGAAAAAAAGTTCAGAATTTTCAAAATATGTCAAAATGAAGAAAACATTTTTTTTCAAAATTTTTTTTTGTTTTCAAAAAAAAAATTTTTTCTCAAAAAAAATTTTTCTTCAAATAAATTTTTTTTTTTTTCAAAAAAAAGTATTTTTTTGTCAAATTTATAGTTTCTCAAAAATCTATTTTTTTCGAAGTAAAATTTTTTCAAAAATGTTAATCGGTTTTTAAAAAAAATAATAATTTTGTACGGGAAGTTCCAGCAATTTGCCTTAAGGCACGATGCCCTAATTGCCTTAAGACAGAATTCCACTTACAGCTAGTTATTTTCAATTTTAAAGTATACCGAGTTGCTGTAGAGTCTTATGATGTTAGAAAATATTGTAGATAATTTAATTTTGCACAGATTTGCCAAATATTTCACTCAAATTATACAAACGGTTTAAAAGTTACAAGAGATACAAAAATAAATGTTTAAATTTAAAATGTCCTACAGCATTTTTTTCAAAATTAATCGCTACTTTTTTATTTCCAGGAAAGCTTGGTGATAGAAGATTAGATTTGCCAACCTGAGAGTTATATTGAACTACATTAGTTTACAAAATAGTTTTTGTTGTGATATTTATAGTTTACTACCTTTAGAAATACTAGTTTTTCGTTTTGACTTAGTTTTATACTCTTAATTTTAAAATTTGTGATAAAAAATTAATAAAACCTACAAAAATGTCTCTGACTTTCGAAGACTCGACTTTCAACCCCGATGATTTGTGGCAGAAATTCGATTTGTTCGAAGATGTCGATAGTATTATCAAAACAGAGTTCTTTGGTGGAGAAGATTGGGATAGTTTGGATGGTGAAGGACTTTTTGATAAGGATATTTTAACAGGAGAACATTATGATGAGGATGTCACAAATGCTGATAAGTTTTTGTTGAGGGATTGTATGTGGTCTGGACGTTGTGTTGATGAATCCATCAGCAAAACACCAGTAGTTAAAAAAGAGCCTGTTGAAACCAAGAAGCCTAATAATGATAGTCTGTTGTTGAATAACATCAAAAAGACTTGCAACGAACAAAGGTTGAATAAACAAAGTTTGAACAAACCTGTACAACCTGGAAGGTCCTTGCTGTTGCGATCGAGGTACAACAATCCTCCACAGCCGGGTAAAAAAATTGGTCAAACTAATTTGTTACCTGTGAACCAAGGTTTTAACTCCTTGAATTTGCTGCAAGTCATCAAGCAAGTCGAAGACAATGTCGACAATTTTGATAAAAAATTCAATATGTTCCCATCACCACCAGACAGCAGCGAGGAGAACGAAAACGATGATGACCAGAACAAAACCAAAAGTATTTTACTAAATCCTGACATCAAAATTAAACAAGAACCTGTCGACACCAAAACCAAGAACGACTTCGATTTGTTCAACAACAAAAAACTATTCTCCTTAAGTGACTCCGAAGAATCTGGTTTGGACTTCGACAACGACATGTTCTCCGACAACGAATGCTTCACTTTTAAATCCTTCAACGGCTTCGACAATACCAAAATCAAATTAGAGATGGACAGCGAAGACGAAGAGTCCTTTAACCTTAAGACTAAAATTAAAAAGGAGCCAGTGTCTCCTAAGAAGACGAATGACTTGACCAGGTTTAGGCAGCAGCAGGAGCAGCAGCAGAGGATTGTAAGGAACAATCCTTGTGAAACTGATCATTGTTACAGTTTATTGAAACATGACGGAGTGAGGGACAAATCTCTGGACAGGAACATGATGGGCATGCTGGGAGTGCAGACACCATCCGACTCTGGTAAGTGGAAGAAAAATAGTTTTTTTGAAGCAACTTTGTTAGTGGATTTTTTGGTATTGGTTTTGGATATCTGGGAAGTAGATAAAATTGTCTACATTTTTTGTTTAAAGTAATTTTTTGAAATTTTTGCTAATTGAGATATTATAACACCGAGAACTGTCGCTTGCGCAAGTTGTTAATATAAGGTTGTTAAATATCTCCCTTCCGCCTTTTTGTATTATAAACCAAGAGCAATAAAGCGGAAGGGAGATATTTGACAACGTAATATTAGTATCAAGGGCATTTTTTCCTTTTTTTAAACCAACTTTTTTCCTAGCAGATTTTTTGTAGTTGACCTCAGATATTTCAAAACTAGATACAATTGTTTAAATATTGTTATACTTGAGTTTTCATAATTTTATTCTGGAAAAGAAATATAGGCCCGAAAACTTTCACTTACAGTCAAGTTGCTTTATTTGCACCAAGGGCATTTTTTCATTTTCTTTAAACCAACTTTTTCTTTGGCAAATTTTTTGAAATTGGTCTTAGATATTTAAAAACTAGATACAATTTTTTAAATCTTTTCATATTCATTTTTCCAAGAATTTATTCTGGAAAAGAAATATAAGCCCGAAAACTTACTTACAATTACTTACACTTACAATCAAGTTGCTTTATTTGCACCAAGTATATTTTTTAACCAACTTTTTTCTTAGCATATTTTCTGCAATTGGTTTTGGATATTTGAAAAGTAGATAAAATTGTCTAATTTTTTTGTTTAAAGCAATTTTCCAAATTTTTTGCAAATTAAGATATTATAGCACTGAAACCTTTTCAAGTTGCTATATTAATATCCAGGACAATTTTTCATTTTCTTATACCAACTTTTTCTTTAGCAGATTTTTTGAAATTGGTTTTAGATATTTAAAAAACTAGATGCAATTCTTTAAATCTTGTCATATTCAATTTTTCAAAAATTTATTCCGGAAAAGAAATATAAGCCCGAAAACTTTTACTTACAATCAAGTTGCTTTATTTGCACGAAGTGTATTTTTTCATTTTCTTTAAACCAACTTTTTCTTTAGCAGATTTTTTTAAATTGGTCGCAGGTATTTCAAAACTAAATACAATTAATTTAAATTTTGTCATAGTCAATTTTTCAAAATATCATTTTGGAAAAGAAATATAAGCCCGAAAACTTTCACTTACAATCAAGTTGCTTTATTTGCACCAAGTGTATTTTTTAACCAACTTTTTTCTTAGCATATTTTCTGCAATTGATATTTGAAAAGTAGATAAAATTGTCTAATTTTTTTGTTTAAAGCGATTTTTCAAAATTTTTGCAAATTAAGATATAGCACTGAAAACTTTTGCTTACACAAGTTGCCATATTAGTATCCTGGACAATGTTTCATTATCTTTAAACCAACTTTTTCTTTAGCAGATTTATTGAACTTGGTCTTAGATATTTCAAATACAAATAAATGTATCTAAATCTTGGTATAGTTGATTTTTAGAAATTTTATTTTGGAAAAGAAATATGAGCCAGAGAACTTTCACTCACAGTCCAGGTGCTTTATTAGTATCAAGGACATTTTTTCATTTTTTTTAAACCAACTTTTTTCTTAGCATATTTTCTGCAATTGGTTTTGGATATTTGGAAAGTAGATACAATTATCTAATTTATGGTAGTCAATTTTTCAAAATTTTACTTAGGAAAAAAATATAACCATGGGAACTTTTATCTACAGTCATTTTGCTTTATTTGCACTAAAAACATTTGTTTACTTTTTTAGTGCAACTTTTTTTTTAGCAATTTTTATGCAATTGGTTTTAAATATATCAAAATTAGATAAAATTATCTAAAATGTGTCATAGTCGATTTTTTGAAATATCATGTTGGAAAAGAATAGTAAGCCTGGGAATTTTTATCTACAGTCAAGTTGCTTTATTTGCACTAAATACATTTTTGAAGCAACTTTTTTGTTCGTAGATAAAATTATCTAAATTTTTTATTTAAAGCAATTTTCCAAAATTTTTGCAAATAAAGATATTATAGCACTGAAAACTTTTGCTTACACAAGTTGGTATATTAGTATCCAGGACAATTCATTTTCTTTAAACCAACTTTTTCTTTAGCAGATTTTTTGAACTTGGTCTTAGATATTTCAAATATAGATAAATGTATCTAAATCTTGTCATAGTTGATTTTTGAAAATTTTAATTAGGAAAATAAATATAAGCCTGGAAACTTTTATCTACAGCCAAGTTGCTTTATTTGTTCCAAGGACATTTTTTCATATTTTTTGAAGCAACTTTCTTAGCAGATTTTTTGCAATTGGTTTTAGATATTTCCAAAATAGACAAAATTATCTAAAACGTGCAGTAGTCGATTTTTCAAAATTTTATTCTGGAAAAGAAATACAAACTCGCAAACTTTATCTACAGTCCAGGTGCTTTATTTGCACCAAGAATTTTTTTTCAAATTTTTTGAAGCAACTTTTTTCTTCGTAGATTTTTGCTATTGATTTTAGGTATTTCGGAAATAGATAAAAGTATCTATTTTTTTTTTATTTAAACCGATTTTTCAATATTTTGAAAAATAAAAAAAATTATAACTCCGAGAATTTCACTTACAGCCAAATTGTTTATTTGCACCAAGGACATTTTTTCAAACTTTTTAAACCAATATTTAAACTAACTTTTTTTTGAGTAGATTCTTAGCAAATGGTTCTAGATATTTCAAAAATAGATAAAATTGTTTAAATATTTTATTAAAAGGGATTTTTAAAAATTTAACTTTGGAAAAGAAATATGAGCTTGAGAACTTTTACTTACAATCCTGGTGCTTTATTAACACCAAAGGCATTTTTCATTATTTTCAATGCAACATTTTTTCAAGTGGATTTTTTGCAATTGGTTTTGGTTATATCAAAACTAGATAAAATTATCTAAATCTTCTCATAGTAGATTTTCAAAATTTCAATTGTGCAAAGAAATTTGAGTCCAAGAACTCAGTGTATTCTTTATTTTTTCCAGAAGAGGAAGAAATCGACGTAGTATCCTTAGGAGTATCTCACAACCAACCAGATTCTGGTTACTACAATTCCAACATCAGTTCCTTCAACAATGGTAAAGCAAATCTGCCAACATGTCCATCGAAGCAGGACAGAAGACAACTACAACTGGAAGTCACCAGGAAGATCTCCGAGAGCAGCAGCAGAATAAAACAATGGTAATAAATGGACAGGATTTAAATGAATCATGAGATGTGATAAATAAATAGATGATTTATGATGTTTTGTTTTGCCTGTGCAGATTTGATTATAAGAAGATCAAATGTCATTCCTGAATCCCAAATCGTGAAACAACCTGGTGGTCTTAAAACACTTGTA